TTGCCATCTGTCCATTCCATTTCCCCATGACCTTTTCAGAGCCCACTCCTGCGAGTGCCACACCAGCAGCTCGCAGGCCCGTTCTTGCGCCAGTCCCCCTTGAGGGTCTTCAGGCCTGTGGCTATCTTGCAGGCTCTTACCTTGGGGAGAGGGTACAGGTAGGACCCCAGGACCAGCATGGTGATCATCACTACTAGCGACACGCACAGACTGGCCACCTGTTCAGAGAAAGGGTTGGGAGGGCGGCATGGCTTCTTGCTCTTGGTTCATCCCAACAAAGACTTTGGTAGAGTGAAGTGGAGGGTCAGGATCGCCCAGGAAGGGTGGGGAGGCAGCTGGCCTGATTTGTGGCTGCCTGAGCTCCTCCAGGGCAACTGGTGGAAACCTGGGCCCCTTCTCACTAACCAGGTACTGAGCCCACCTGGGATTTCCCTCCAGCTCCATCGACAGCCAGCGTGACCGAAAGAGCACAGCAGATGACATGGATCTTAAAGAAGGAGCCGAAGAAGTTGCTACAGCCCAGGGCGATCATTTCCTGCGGAGAGAGGCAGGGGCAGGGTTGGGAGGAGGGGGCTCAGAATAGGGACAGAGTGGCAAGACTACCAGTCAGCCACCCACGCTGGACCTCGGGCCTTGGGCTTGTGGGTGACTGTCGCTATCAGGCCACATGTTCTTGATCAACCTCGTGGGGTTGGCGCCCGCCGCTTGCTAGCAGAGAGCTGACCTCACCTCAACCCACAGTCTCAAGATGTCTCCGGCCCGGCATCTGCTGCCTCAAGTGCTATCTCGCCCAGACCTGCCAGGGGTTGGCCAGAGCTACCTGGTTAGAATCCACGTCATAGCCATGTTTGCTGGCCAGGGTCCGGCCCACAGCCAGGTTGATGACGTAGCCCACGATGGCAAGGGAGAAGGCTGTGCCAATCATGTCCTTCCACTGAGAAACCACGGGTGACACGGGAGTGGGGAACCTGCCAAGGAGTCAGAGAGGAGGCCGGACCCGTGGGTGTGAGCAGAGGGAGGGCGGCTGTGTTCTCCACCCACCCACAGGGACAGCCAGTCCCCACC